CGTATCCCTCTCTATTTTCTTTCGATTCGTCTGCCAATCCTGCAGCATCTCCATGTGCCTTTCTTTTTCAAAGTTAAATAGATGTTGCTCCATATCCGGTTTCTCTGCGCTAACTCCATAATCCGGGTCCGTTGTTGAACAAAATGGGTTTCTCACCTTCTTCGAAGACTTTCTTTCCCTTTCCTTTCCTTTTTCATTACTGCCTTTCCTTCTTTCTTCTAATTCTTCTATCAATTTCGGCGGCTTCGCACCCTTGCCCTCTATTACCTTTGATATTAGTTTTTGCGTGTTGTGCTGTACAACAGCAGCTGCACATCTCGCAGAATATGACCCTCTCTGGCCCCAATTTATCCTTTTCCCACCGGTATATTTTGCAATGATGGCATTGAGGTTCTCAACTGAATTGTTTGTAGTATTATATAATAAACTTTCAGCATGAGCCATCAATGGACGGAAGATCTCATGCATCCGGTTATATATGCCGATTTTCTTGAGATGCGGTACCAAGTTGTCTTCTCCCGTGTTTGCTGGGCGGTCGCAGAAATATCCTAGTCTTCGACACTCCTTGTGCTCTCCGAAAACGTGGCTAAGAATATTTAGTATATCTTCCATCTGTGAGTAACCACCACCACAAGTGATTGTGGCGAGGGCCGTAGTAGAATGCAAATCCATTGTTTTGTTGTCTGCCGATTGATTCTGCACTTCCGCTTCATATTGGCACATCTTGCATTTCAGAGTTATTGTTGCTCTTAATCCCGAGCGCTTCATCCCGATTACTTGCAAATGTTGCGTGGTGCATTCGAACGTTGCCGAGTGGTACCCTATCAGTAGTACCTGCTCTACCACGAGCCGGAAGTCCGTAATGGTTAATCCTTCCTCGATGCTTGGCTGTGCACGTGATTGCTCTTGCGTTCCTGCCTCAATGATGAAATGGGGCATTTCTTGACTGACTTCCGCTGCTTCGATCTTCTCGGTGCGCATCTTCCTTGCCGCTGCAGCTTGTTGAGTTCTATAAATGCAAAATATACAAACAAAAATAAAGGTTTTTCAAATGAGTACTATACCGTTCAATCTAAATAAATTGATATTATTAATTAAATAATGTGAGCCAGTCACTGTGCCGTTGCACCCATTTCGAATCGTAACCTGGAGTAAGCCGTTCAATCTTTCCATTTTAATTAAACACATGCAAATGATAACGATGACAATAAAAGTAGCAACGATTTGTTGCATCGCAATACGGCCCACCGGCCATCGAAAACCCATCTGCGCAAAATTTCAACCCGGTAGCAAGCTGTGGTTATCTAATTAAATAATTGAATTTGATTTCTAATATAAAGTTACGGGGTNTCCCGAACTGCTCACTTGAATATTGGCACGTCCATCTTGGTTGATACGAACAGCTGTCACGAAGATTTTCTGCCGCGCGCTTGGTTTCTAGACCAGGGGAAGCTGCCATTGGAGTTCAGTAATGATATAGCACAAATCTAAGCTCAATCAAAATTTTTATTGTACGTATTTATTATTTAAAGAATATTGGTTTTCTTTTAATTACGGATAAATAATTAGCTAATACTGCGATTGTAATTATATATTTGAGTTTAGACTTATTTAAGATGAATTTTAGGGTGATTAATAATGTGGGATTAATTTATAATAGAGTAAAATTTAATT